CCCCCCCTCGCTCAATCCAAAATCACTTTCGACACTCGAACATCAGTGCGCAACGACGCCTCGCATGTACACCTCGCGGAGAGGAGACCGAGGGAGACTCCCACATTTACTGGCGAACACGCACTCCGACCGCCCCCCGCCCCCGCTCAAAACTCGGGCGCCGCCCTACTCAAATGTATGCCAGTGTTTTTGTTTCCAGCGCGTGCAACCCTCCAGTTTCGGGGCGGTAGCACACACCAAGAGAAGAAAAGGTACACTGTCTGCGCGTCCCTCGCCACGCCCCCGCGCCCTCCCCCCGGGGGGCGGCTGGTGTGTTGCCAAGGGCGGGCTGAAGGGGGAACCCATTCACTAATTTGAGCCGCCTTGGTGTAGCGCGGGTGAGGAGAGGGGTGAGGGTGGTGGGGGATGAGGATGTCCCGACATGCCCCCTCACCCCTCCCCCCATCACCCTCCAGCAGCCCCGGGAGCCAGGCTGGTCCCCATCCAGCTCGCGGGATCCTCCCGACGCGCGGACGAGCCGAGCTGTCTCCCGCCGCCCGGCCCCGCCCGGGAAAGAGTATGGCGCTATGAATTGCGAAATAATCCATTAGGATCCTCCTCTCCCCGCTGTGCCCCGCTGCGCCCTGCCCGCCCTGCCCCCGGCCGCGCTGCGCTGCTCGGCCCGGATGGCGCTGGCGGGGAGGTTGGGTTGAGAGAGAGGGGCGCTTCCGGCCGGGGCTGGGCCGGGGCGACGCGGAGCCGTAAGAGGACGGGCGGGAGGACTCTCGAGTTTGTCTGTTTCAGTCAGCTGCCGCCGATGCGATGCTGCCGCCGAGGCTAAGGCAGCGACCAAAGTAGTTGGGGCCGGACTCGCCCCGCTCTCACACTATGGCTGTGGCCTAATCCATCCCCCCTCTCTCCCCCTCCTTCTCGCCTTCGCTCGTCCATCTCATCGGGGGAGAGGGCATTCCGCATTCCCCCCCGAAACTTTGACGAGACTTCGACGTGCGGCGCGGCGTGGCGCCATGTTGTTTAGCTCGTCAGCTCGGCTCGGCCAGTCGGGCCAGTCCCCCGCCGCCGCCTGCCTCCGCGCCGTCACCAACTTGAGCTGTCAGTTGAAAGTAGTTCGGACCCCCCGTACTTGTAGGAGGTGCGCGCGCTTATTGGAACCCCGCGTCCCCCACCCTCAACCTCGTGCGTCTCTCTTAAGCAAACATTTCGCACCTAGAGCTCGGCTCAGTTCTCCCCCGTCCTCTCTTTTGAATGAAACATCCGCGCCGTCAAGATTTGACAACTATGATAAAAGGGAGAGTCCATCTGGCGCGTGGCTCCAAAGAAGTTGGAGTCTTGGACTTGGAGTCTTGCTCACAGAAAAAGGCCTCTTTTCCGATAACATCTTTATTCCGACTTGCATCTTGCTGGCTTGTACATCCCGTCGTTCTCTCTCTCTCTCCCTTAAGTCTCATTCTCTTTCTCCCTCTAGAGATCCTCCCCATCGCAGATTGTATCCATCGCCTAATGTTCACTCCGCTTGATTGGGCGAAAATGGGAAGCGCAACAGCTTGGCGAAGACAAAACTTTGTCATCGGAGGGACAGCTGTCCCCTCCCCCTGCCTCCTCCC